TTTCTACTCATGCCCTTGACGGGTGCAACAGAGCAAAGAGGGCTCCACAAACAGAAGTGCATGATAATTTTTCTCAAATGTACTGAGTGGCTCTTGCTTATGATGTATGTTGAACTTCTATCGTACGTAATTAACCGTGCTTATCGGAGGCGCAGGGAAGGACAATAAACTAAACAGGGAACTCGACATCGTGTGTTGATGAGACTCGGGCAGTCATAACCGGTGTAGAGTTTGCCTGCTTAAACAAACATTGCTCTAGAAAGTTCATAGGCTGGTGGATGAAAAACATTACTTTCTTTTTTATTTCAAGAGGTGAAACGGACCATTTTATATGTAGTTATCGATGTATTTATGGAAAGAGTGGTTCCTGTTTAAGTTTGTGCAGGGCAATGCCACACAACAGTAAAGCAGCTGTCTGTAATTTCCACTCCTGATACTGACTTTCCAACAGCGGTTGTCGTATGGAGAGACTTGCTTGCGCAATAGGATTTTTTAATTTCCACCACTGGGTCAGGACCGTAAACAGGAGATGAGCACAAACTCAATGCTCGCTTGAGCATAAAATCACTTTTATGCTGACTTTACAAACATTTCCATTATTTTTAAGTGCACTGGGACGTCCAAAAGAACGAATGAGTGATTTAAATTGCACTTTTGGAGTTAGCACATGGACACACTATCGTCAATGTAACTGGCATCATGAAATTGTAAATGTAGTGTCCTTTATCCATTTCTTTTTTAGGCAAAATAATAATAAAATGCAGCTTGGCATTGATTTTATTAATTGTTATGATAACTCTTTATCCACAACATCTATGGGATAAGTCTATTTTCATGGCAGTTCATGCCTCTAGCAATCCTGCCACATCATCGTAGATGGCTTAACAAGGAAATGTTCTCCAATGGTACAAAAATCTGGTCGATTTAAAAGACCTTCATCATTGTGGCGATAGTAATTATTTCATAATCAACGTCCACAGAAAATAAACAACGTATTATGGGTTTGTGTTTTTTTGTGTGCGCGTGTGTGTGGGTGCAGCAGCGCCGTGGTTAGTGCGCTGCGCTATCAACCCAGCGACCCGAGTTCGATTCCCACTTACGCCCAATATCAATGGCGGATATCTGAATCGGTCATGGGCCTCCACATAGGTCGACTCAGCCTCAAATAAATACCTGGTGCAGTGTGTAAACATTGCCACTGGAGAAACAAAGGTGGCCGAGCGTGGTTCTGGCCACACCGCCCTCTCGTGTGCCATGGCGGCCTTCATAGGTTCTCGCTAACAGCACTTTCCCCAACAGTCTGTTAGGGCTATGTGGGGAATCTTTGTCTTGTGCATTATCCAGGGTGTCCATAAAGGTACAAATAATATAAAAGTTTAGCCTCATATTACATTGTTTATGCAATTTGCATCTCACAATTACCGAGGAACCACGGACAAGCTGGAGAGGCAGCCAGTCAGGTGAGCCGGCGCCAGCAATTAACCAAACTCTGTAGTCCAGTCCTTTGTCTATTAAGATGTTTTCAGCCGATTAATGAGTGTTGATACATGAAGGTACTTTATCTTTCATTTTAAAGGATTAATAGTTGTAAAGGATGAAGTGTTTGCTAAAAAAAAGTAAGAAGCTTGAGTGATCCTCGACAGCAGACAACAGAAGTATTCAAAATGATCACAGCCCAGTATGCATCTCTTGGATGTGCATACATCACATACTGTGCCATGCACGCTCATATGAACTGTACGCATACGAGAAAATAATCATGACGATGCCACAATCTCTTTATTAGGTCTCGAAAGCTAAACGGAGTAGAGCCTGGTTACCCAGGTTAGTACCTGAGACTGCCTGGAAGTGCGAAATGTTTAGCCTTGAGCTACAAGGTGGCCTGGAGATGACAGTATAGCGATAGATTTTTTTTTACAATCTATTTGTGCAGAGCTTTCAGTCACACCCCCCCCTCCCCGTTACTTTATTACGTAGGCTGTTGCGGTCATTATTATTCATGATAATGTAATTTGGGTTAGATCACATACGTAACATGTAAATGTGTCGTAAAACCACCTCCACCTGACAGCCAATTAGTAAGGTTTAGTCAATGAGCAAAACGTTCCAATTGGTTACTAAATTTTTATTTAAAGCTTTCGTGACTGCTACTACTTTAGCACACCGGTTGTGTGTGTTGGATAACATTTTGCTGGGGTGGCGAGATGTTATCTCCCTTTCCTGGTATACAGGAGGTTGTGGGTTCGATCCATGGTCACATGGATTTTCTTTGGATCCTCCGCTTTTCCCCTCCATATTTATAAACATGCATTTAGAGTATTTGGCTGCTATACATTTCCGAATCATAAGCCACTTCGTTCAGCAATCATTCGTGGCCAGGTCGCTTCTGAAAAAGAGCTATACAGCTCAGGGGGCATTACCTGGTAACATACAAAAAATATTTGAGCAGTTGAAGCCCACAGCATTTAAAATTAGAGTACGACCAGAATCATCAGGCGATTTCCAGAATTGTTATACTTTCGGGCTCCCCGGTTTCCTCGCACATGAAGCCGAATGCTCGTTAGGGTGAGACTCGATAAGGCTTTCCTGGGTAATAAAGGGCATTATTACAATAACACATTAATTATCGATACTCATTTAGTATATATATACAAAATCTAATTAGTGACGACAGGAAAACCAAGTTTGTATATTACAATGTTTATTGACCATTTTTAAACAATAGAGTAGTACAATTATAATAAATAGGAGACATTTGTTGTGTGGGTCTGTGTGCATGCGTAAACACTCGTGCACATGTAATTTATGGAATAGATTACTGCAGTCCCGAATTAGATGGCTTGGTATGTGTCTGTCTACTGTTTGTTGAACTCTTTTCTGTTTGTGTAGTATTCATGTTTTAAACATGAAGACAATGCAGCAGCAATAAAATATGAAGATGATAAGCTTTCAACAATATAAAAAAAATATTTTAAGCTTCTGACAAAGATACAATTAATAAATCATATTAGTATGTTTACGTGTGTAATGGAGCTCTCAGAGACACCGTCTTGTTCAGTTATGTATATTTATTATGAATAACGTCCGCCGACTCACTGATAGCTTAACGATTAACCGCGGGTGACTATATACACTTGGGTAACTTAGGTAACTCTATTCTGAGACAACATAACTCTAGCCTTCCAAGACTAGAAGGTGCCCACTCCAGGATGATGAAGACGACCCGCTCCAAGGTGACGACGGCGACGGAAGTGCCCCCACAACAGCAGCCCAGAGCCCCGGTTCACCCGGCCACGCCCCTTTTCCCGAACCCTCTCTCACCCGCACCTGGCCCTGTCTGTCTCTGCCCTTATTACAATTTACGACCGTTAGGTCACGTGCTTCACCTCACGTGACCCTGTCAAGGCTTGTCGCATCAATCATTAGCGACCACTTAGGTCCCACATTAACCTAACCTGACCCTGTCTGTTAATTAGTAACCAGGGCCACGGGGAGCCGTACTATCCCTACATCACCCCGTACTGTCCTTACATGTGCATGTAACAGTGGCAGTGGTTGTTAGTGCACTGCGCTATGAACCCTATGCATTTGATTCATAGCCACGGCTATCAGTTCATAGAACTGCTTTTTTCAACGGTTTTACTTAACTTGACTCCTGTGTTTGTCGTCGTCAAATCTTGTAATGAAAATGTAGTCTACTTCCTGTTGTCCAATCAATTCCAAATTTTGCACAGTACTCAGATCCGGTGACAATGCATGTCTGTATCAAAATCGCCATCAATTAATCAATTAAATCGCTACTTTAAAGCAATTGACATTTTGTATGGACGCCTTAACATTTATATCTATACTGTATTTGTGTATTCAAAAACGCCGCGGTCCCTAAAATCTCGTATCGCCTCGCCCAAGAAGCAGATGCCACGTGTCTCAGGCGAGCCTGCTCCGTGTAAACGAGTTACGGGCACCCTCACTCCACACAAACAAAAGTTGTACATTGAATATTCATTTAGAAAATAACCAATTCAATCAAGTCATCGTTGATGTGGGAGCAGGTGCCGCATCATTGACGTACTTCTCGACAGTGAGTTCAACGAAGTTGTGAATAAAAGCGTTGTTTTAAAAAAAAGTTTGTAAGGAGTTTATTATAACTGCTTTTTATGTTCAGTTTGTTCTTCCCCCCGTACCTCCGATTAGCACGGTTGGATACGTATTGTGCAAAAGAAGTTCAACATGCATACATATCAATCACCAGTGGCAAGTGATATGGGGTATAAACATCATGACAGCCTGGCATAGTGCTTGTCACGTAGGGTTGCCACCTTTCCAACAGACCAAACCTAGACATTTTTCAATTTGCGTCAGGTCTATCATAACCGTGCAGAATACTGTAATAAAGTTCAATACAATACTTGTATTCTTTGGGTCTTTCTGTAAAGTCACGTAGATAGGTTAAAAGAAAATAACATGATGACCACTTGTGTTGCGATCGAAACGTCGTAGTCTTTTGTTATTTTCTTTGAACCAATCTACGTGACTTTACCGAAAGACCCAAAGAATATTAATTCCTGCAGTCACGAAAGCTTTAAGTCAAGATTTTTACAATATCTGTACCAGATCTCGGTATAAATAAATTCCTGCCACCCGAACACAAGACGCCAATTCCCAGACTGTCCAGGTCCACGGACAGGTGCAGGCCTGGCTCCAGTTCCTCGTGGATGGGGTGGCCTGTGGAGCCATTATATAGGCCACCAAAACAGTCATATATCCAGTACCACTAAGCAGAGTGAACTTTGGTGCTGCCAAGGGGACATTTCGTGGTGCAGGGCTCAGCCGCACAACCCTCCCTATTCGCCGTGCTTGGAGGGGTGGCAGCCATAGGACCTCACCACTGCCTCATTTCCCATTGAATAAGTGCTTCATCCTAACAGCCAGCGCTTGCCCCAATAGTCTACATAGTCTACAAACAGGGTACCCGTGTGCTTGTGTGTGCGTTGTGGCAGGCTGGCTGCACCAGCTACGCAAGCGGCTGGAGGCGTCCGGCTCGGCCAACAGCAGCGTGTCACACTGCGGCCCTCCCCTGCGCAGTGCCTACATCACCTCTCTCTACTTCACGCTCAGCAGCATCACCAGCGTCGGCTTCGGCAACGTCTCGGCCAACACGGACTCAGAAAAGATCTTCTCCATCTGCGCCATGCTCATTGGAGGTGGGTCCTTTAGTTTCGCAGCTGGTGACTAAGATTCTTCGACTTTTGGTATGTTTCATGAGTCAGGTGGTTTTTTCGCTGCTCGGGGGAGGAAGATGTGTTGCGATGGCGGTTGCGCAATGATGATGCCATGTGGAAGAAAAAGAGATGCTGCAGTGGACGTGTTGGGTTTTGCCGCCTCTTTGCCCACCTTCCCCTCCATCTGAATCGTCACCCATGTAATTGCATTTAGCCACTATATACATTTAAATTTATCTTGTTTTCCCCCTGCTTGCTACTTGCGAGGAAAGCACACACCTTCATTGTTAGTCTGTTGATTTTCACGTTGTCGATGGCTTGTGTAGAGTGTGGCATGCTGCTCCTTCATCTGCCCATCTCATGAATGTTCTTGATTTGTTTCATGTTGCATTCATTGTAATCGCTTATTGTGTTCAGCTTGCAAAATCAAATTAAGGTTTACATCATTTAATGCATATGCTCTGTCTGTAACAAGAGCCCATGATAACTCTTTTAAAGATCTTCCAATATAGACAACATTTTTATATAAAGGTGTGTTTCTATTAAAGACCATATGATACAGGGTAAGTCTGTGATCCATAATATAAGCTTTTTGATTTAGATCGCGTAAATTTACGTGATATTGATCGCGAAAGCCTACGTGTCGCATTAAAAGCTGTATATGAGCTACATTTAACCTCCATGGAAATAACGAGGTTTGCAACTAAAACCGATATTTTCAGGAGCACCCGACCCCTAAATGATCCTAGTATTTCGAGGACACACCGGACCTCCGTTGTGTGTCCTCTTCTACCTACCCTAACCTGTCCACTGCAAAAAACCCGGCGCCGCTGAAAACAAAATTCGCCCACACACAGCGCTGATGCACGCCGTGGTGTTTGGGAACGTGACGGCCATCATCCAGCGGATGTACTCGCGCCGCTCGCTCTACCTCACGCGCACCAAGGACCTCAAGGAGTTTATCCGCATCCACCGCCTGCCCCAGCCACTCAAGCAGCGCATGCTCGAGTACTTCCAGACAACGTGGTCCGTCAACAATGGCATTGACACCAACGAGGTGGGCAAACCCTCCGCCGGACACTGCACACAGAAAACCAGGTAGGCCCAAGGGGACACATGCCGTGGTTCTAGAGTTGTCACTGGTTCTGGTTTTTCGACGATCATCCTTTGTGATTCTTTACAGAACATTAAAAGTCCCACTTGCTGTCAGTTGTGCGATAATACTGGGCTCAAAACAATGCACAGTCATGTAGTTCTTTCCTCTTCAGGTATCGTAAGATATTAATTTCCCCCATGATATATCCTGGGTTTTTTTCTGCCTCACATGTGTAAACGCAACGTGGTTCATGGTTTACATAGGCAAGACCCTTAGGTTTTGTCATTGTACGTGACATGAGCAGGTGACCAATTAATTAGAGGATAATAGAACAGCATAAGGTGATCATTTGAGTAATAGTGACCAAATCCTCCCAGAATAGCGCTGACATTGCCAGATCACGGAAGCGAAGCATAGCCAAGTCTGGATAGTTCTTGGATTGGCGATCATTGTGCATAAGATAGGTATCGTCGGCTGCTGTGCTACGTTCTCAACTGAGAGCCGTGCAGAAAAATATATTGTTGTACTGTACTGTGCTCCGACATCTATGCCATCTGCCTTCACCAACCTGTATATACCAGCATGGTGTAATATGCTCAAATAACCCACACGGTGTGAAATGGCCTTCATCTAGCAGTGGATTGATGTAAGGATTGCACAGATACAATGTTTAATACAGCAGGGCTGGTGCTGAGCTTTCACTAGACCTGTTTGCGCAGTAGACAGTGTGGATTTCCATTCTGGAAAACCTGGAGTAGAGCGCACCACTGCCCACCGGATCTATAGCAATGGCACGTCGTTGGTCATGACAATGCAGGACAGAACATAGGTCTGATCATTTTGCTTCCACTCAGCGTCCTTCACTAACGAACCACTTCGGGAGCTGGACTATAGAACATTTGTCACTGTAGCAGCTCCTAGCAGCCATTAGAAACATAACAATGGCATCAATTCATCGAAATTATGTAGCCAAAAGAGGGAGCACGCTTGACCGTACGACTACCACGGAGATGGAGCAATGAAATAATCTCATGTGTAGAACCTAAAAGTGATCGATTCATCACAAGAGCTTTATAGATGGCGACGGCTTGGAGAGGGCTTCATCTAGCAGTGGATAGATCACAGCTGACAATAAACCTGATTGGCATACAAAGCTGTACTCGAGCGGTTTGTGCTTTCTTATTTTAGTTCTCGTGCAATAATTGAGCAGCGAGAAAATAATCTGCTCGTGTTAGAGTGAATTACTACCCATACATCGATCGATAACAATCTTCATCATATTTAAAGTGTCACTGCAAATACATTTCCAGCACAAGAGCAGCACAAATAATGAGCTCTTCCATCCCCCATTGAGGTGCCACAAGGCATGTGTTTTAACAAAGCTCCGGATGGATGGCTATTTTTACACTTATTTTCTTTAAAAATATATATTTCCCTTACTATATAAGCAACGCTTTAAGTTTCAACACGGTAGAGAGGTATATAGACAGTTATGGTCAATGGTAATTTTTAAAAGTGCACATTTCCAGTGGGTCAAAAAAAACCCTACGTTACATAATTCGAAACAACATCAAAGGTGGTTATGAGAATATGTGCAGTAAAATTAGGACATGTGAAGAGGAGTCGGAGAATGGTTTAAGCCCTTCTTTATTTCTCCAATGCACAGCAACACTCGTTCCAAGACCAACCCCGAACACACGTCTCACAGCCCCTTTAAACGCCTCTATCTCTACTCTCGGTCCCAATACACATCCGCGTCGGGCACGCCTGGTCACTGCCCTTTAACCCCTGACCCCATCCAGTGCATTCCCGCGCGTGTGATTGGTGCCTGTTATCGTGAGAGCGGAGATGTCGTGTCTGCGTGGTGCGTGTGCGTGAGGGTGGCTCGCAGATCCCTTACATCACCCACCCCCCCCTTCCTTGAGATCAAGCCGTCCTCGGCTCAACAAATGTATGCCTCGGCCGTTTAAAGCCAACTGCGGCTGGGTACATGCAATCCAAACAATAACAAAAAAAGTGCAATAAGCAAAAGTAACACAACACAATTCCCCCTCTGTCTCCTTGTTAACAAGAGTGCCGCCTCTGTCGCCGACTTCCCCCACGATCCAATCCCTCGACCGAATACAATAGAGTTGCAGGGATGTTCGTGTACACAGCTGCGACGAGGTGGCGTGAGCGTGAGCGGGTTAAGGAGCCCCGTCCTGTGGCCAAGTCCTCTGCTGCGGCTGCGTTTTCAGCCACGGATGGCGACGGGTCCGGTGCTGGCGTTCCGGTCACCTGTAGTCCTGCAGGATGGACAGTGTCTGCATTGTCAGTCGATCGCGTAGTAGGCCGTGAGTGTGACAACCTCTTCCCACCCGGCCGAACTGACGACGAAGGTGGTGAAGGTGACGATGCTCGTAGGGGCAGCTCGGCCGCGACAGCGTTTTAGCCTCAAGGGTGAACGTACCACCTACGCTTTCCCATCTGAATGCGAACCCACTGAGGTCGCAATACCTGCAGCACTGTGACCGGGCCCTGCCAGGGCCGGTGCAGCTTCGCTGACGTCCGCAATGGTACCTGCGGGCAGTGCAGCCAAGCCAGGTCACCCACTGCAAAGGGATCCGCGACCGGAGGCTTAGCCCGCAAACACTCGTTCGTAGCTTGCTCCGAACGGAACGTGGCTGGCCAATCTCCTGCACGCGATGGGACAGGGCGCAACTGTGCCTCAATTGGAGGGCTCGGCTCGCGTCCATACATCAAGAAAAATGGTGAATATCCCATTGATGCATGCGGCGCCGAACGATAGGCTGTCAAAACCCCAGGGATGTGCAAATCCCAGTTTGTCTGCTGGTCATTAACCAAGTGACACAGCATCCCCGAGAGGGTGCGGTTAAAGCATTCCACCATCCTGTCTGTTTGTGGGTGGTAAGGGGACGTCCGCACCTTTTTGACACCCAGCATATCACACACCTCCTGCAACAGTATGGAAGAAAAGTTTCTGCCCTGGTCCGTCAGCAGCCGCTCCGGAGGCTCCCTTGTCAGCAAGATAGCCATTTACAAAGGCGTCCGCTATTGACGCCACCATCTGGTTGGGCAACGGGCAGGCAAAGGGCCATCATGTAAAGTACTCCATCCCCACCAGTAGGTATCTACACCCTCGAGGGGTGGCGGGGAAGGGGCCCAAGATATCGAGGCTCACGAGCTCGTTTACCCGGGAAACTTTAATGGACTGCAGGGGAGTGGTTTGCACGACCGGCGGGGACTTCTTGCGCGCACAGTCCGTGCACACCGCTACCCGACGGCGGATATCGGCGGACATGCCTGGCAAAAAATAGCGAAGGCGTAGCGCAGCCTCGGTCTTATGGCTACCTAGATGGAGCAACTGTCGGATGTGAACATCGGAGCATAGCTGACTCCGCAGGGAAGAGGGCACCACCAGAACTTTACGATTCACGGTCGTGTCCCAGCGCATCAACAAACCCTCCCAGATGAGGAAAAACAGATGAGGAAAAACTGACGTGAGGAGATCGTCAGCGTGTGCCGTCTCCGCCAGCCGGCGAAACGGTGCCAAAGACATGTCTGCCTGCTGCCGGTTCCTCCATTCCTGCAGGGTGAGCCCTAACTTGGCAGAAACCGGTGCCACGATCTCGGGTTGTGCCGCGGCCGGCGGTCTACAGCGCGCGCATCCGTCGCCGCAAGCGCACTTAACGGGGGCTGCCAGTCTGGACAAAGCATCGGCGTTCGCATGCCTGATTCCTTTCCGATGGACCGCTCGATATGTGTACTCCTGCAGCCGCTCCAACCATCGGGCCATCTGACCGGTCACTTGGTAAATGTGGAGCGAGTACTGCAATGCCGCATGATCTGTCCGAACAGTGAATTCGCGGCCGTACAGGTAGGGCCGAAACTGCTGCACAAAGTGGACGATGGCAAGCAGCTTGCGGCGCGTGATGCAATACCGCTGTTCGGCCTGCGACAAGACGCGACTTCCGTAGGCAATGACAATCTCTCTCCCCTCTTGAATCTGGGAGAGAATGGCCCCGATGCCCATATCGCTCGCGTCCGTGTCCAGCAGGAAGGGAATCCAAAAATCGGGGTATGCCAGGGGCGGCGCTTCTGTCAACCGCTGGCGCAGTGTCAAGGATGCGTCGGTCTCTGGCTGGCCCCAATGAAACGACTGTCCCTTCGCTGTGAGTGCATGCAAGGGCTTAGCGATGGTTGCAAAGTTCACGATGAAACGGCGGTAATAGGAAACAAACCCCACTAATCTGTGGACTTCAGGCACGGACGTGGGTGTTGGCCAATGACAGACGCACGCCATTTTGTCGGGATCTGTCACAACCCCCGACGCATGAACGAAATGACACTTGGAGGGTTTTAACTTGAGCTGGGCGTCCCGGATTTTCGAAAACACCTGTCGCAACCGGGTTAAGTGCTCCTCGAATGTGTGAGCGAACATGATCACATCATGGAGATAGATGAGGCACAACTCCTACTGCAATCCCACAAGCACCAGCTCCATCAATCGCTGGAAAGTGGCGGGAGCCGTCTGTAAACCCATCGGCAAACAGTTGAATTGAAAGAGACCTTGAGGCCTTCTGAAAGCCATTTTCGGTCTGGATTCGGCAAAAGGTCTAGTGTGAAGAAAATGTTTGCTCCTGCGAGGGCATCTAATGAGTCGTCTATGCGCGGGAGCGGGTAGCCGTCCGCCAAGGTAACTTTGTTCAGCCGCCTGAAGTCTACGCAAAAACCGGCGCAAGACAACGCTGTCCCTCCGGTAATAAGTCAAAGATACGCAGGGATATGATGCTGGCCGTCGCACCCGTGTCGACCAACATGCGGACGCTAACCCCTGCCACCGAGCCTACCAACACGGACATCCCCCCCTTGGCCGCCACCACCCTTCTGGCCAACCGACGCCACTTATTAACCGTGTCCGGCCACGGTCCCGGACCGTCAGCAGGAATCCTAGCTGCCGCCCCCGAGGAATGAGATGCGTGATGGAGTGAACATGGCATGTATGATTCTGGCCAGGTGTTCGAGGTGTCAGCACTCGCCTGAGTCGGAATGGCCGTGGACCGAGGCTGACGATTCCGGCTGATCGTCCCCGGTGCACTCGTCCTGCTGCAGCATCCGCGGGCGATGTGTCCCTCCCGCCCGCAGTGATGGCAGAAGACGTCGTTGGTGAACCAAGGATGATCTCCTGGCTCGCGAGGTGCCCAGCGCCGGGGTCGGCGCTCCACTTCCCGCTGGATCCTCGGGTACTGCCGCAGGGCCGCCACCGTCTCTCCCTCGTCCTCCTTTGCCGGCGGCGCGTGTCTGGTTGGAGGCCGTTGCCGCCCCTTGACGTGACCGCGATCCCACGAGACATGTGCCACACCTCGCGCGGGTCCCGCCATCTCCTCGTAAGCGCAGAGATGGCATGCGACCCATAGTGAGGTGTGGTCTTCCTCCTCCACCACCGGCAGAATCACTCCCGCCTTCTGTGCCATGGTAAGGAGCCGCTCCACTACCAGCAAGTCCAGGGCCGGCTCGTTGAGCCGCGGGAATGCGACTTCTGCCAGCGTCAACAGTTCTGTCCTGAAGACCAGGAGCGATTCGGATGCTTCACGCTGGCAGTTTTTAAACCTCTGGCACGCCCCGGACGGAGGGTCAAACACGTCCGCCATCTCCTTGTAGACACCCTGCAGGGATGCTCTTTTAGCAGGCGGAATCCAGTCAAATACTGCCAGCATTGGGTCGTCCAACACAGTGGGCAGCATCGTCAGGGCTTGCTCCTCCGTCCACCTCATTGCCCGGGCGGTCATCTCAAACCGGCGGACGAAAGCGCGCCATTCTCCCGATCTGGACACGAACTTCTGTATCGCACTCAGCTGGCGGTTACATCCTGGTCCTCCCTTTGCAGGCTGCCTTGGCTGAGGTTCCGGCTGATACCTCGCCCCCAGTTGCCGCTGCTGTCGGAGGATCTCGGGAGGACAGACCAGAGTGTTCCGGCTGAATCTTGCTCACGGTTGGCGCTGCTGTCGGAGGATCTCAGGAGAACAGACTCGAGTGTTCTCCCATGTCCCACGCGGGACGCACGGTCAGCGGCGTCGCTGATGCTGCTCCATCCCCGGAGAGATGCTGTGGAGTGCCTGGTCGGGAAGGCTGACCGTGGCCCCCGTCTCCTCGCTGGGGAGGTTGTGCGGCTGAGGTTCCCCCAGCTCGTTCGACCTCAGGACCCAGCCGGCTAAGCAGCGCGGTGACTGCCTTCAGCAGCAGATCCATCCTCCGATCCCTCGAGGATGATCTGCGGCGGCGGCGCTGTGTCTGCACCGCTGGGTTGGTGGAGGAAGGTGGCTACACTGGACGAGCAGCTGCCACGGATCTCGTCGATGAGCCGGGAGACGAATCCGGACTCGTCGGTTCCGTTTCGGAGCAAATTTCGTCGTGGGCACCTAGAGCGTCTTCTTGCTGTGTCTCCCCCCTTGGGTTCTTATGTCGTTTGAGGCGAGACATCCCACCGCTGCCACCAGATGAAGAGGAGTCGGAGAATGGTTCAAGCACTTTTTTATTTCTCCGACGCACAGCAACACTCGTTCCAAGACCAACCCCGAACACACGTCCCACAGCCTCTTTTAACCCCTCCATCTCCGCCCTTGCTCCCAATACACATCCGCATCGGGCACGCCTGGTCCGGGTGACGTCACTGCCCTTTAACCCCTGACCCCCGTCCAGCGCATCCCGCGCATGTGATTGGTGCATGTTATTGTGAGAGCGGAGATGTCGTGTCTACGTGGAGCGTGTGCGTGAGGGTGGCTCGCAGATCCCTTACACATATATAGCAGACAGGACGTCCTTGGGGCAAGCAAAAATAAAGGGCAGACACGGTACAATCCATGTACATTGTTATGCATATGCTTGCAGTGTGCCCTTTTATTATTGCCGTAAAAAAACTGACATTAAACAGCTCAAAATATAACATCAAAGGTGGTTGTAGCAATATACGCAGTGAAACCAGGACATGGGGTAAGTACACCCGCCACCGAGCAAGTTTGCACACGGATGATTGTTTTAGTTTCCGATTGCTCCGCGGGTCTCCGCAGGGGATCACCAAGGCACGCCACGTACTAAAAAGTGGTTGGTTATATAATGCTTTAACAATGTTGCTATTCTTGCAATTCCACGAATTATCAAAATTCCAGTTCCCGATTTTATTTGGCAATCGATTGTGAGGCATTTTTGTTGTTTAATTTTTATTGCGTCGTGGTGCATTGCAGCGCCTCTGGTGGCTGCAGATGCCGTGTGATTTAATTTCATAGAGAATACGTCAAAAAAATCGAAAATAATAAACTCTCACACGCACAATTTGTGACATATGTACACTTTTTTCAATCGATATCTTCATCATCAATTATCTATTCACTGCTGGATGAAGGTCCTACAATGTACAAAATTGCTTTAATCTTAAGAGTTCTGCTGCCTGTTATGATGCCCCCTCAATCCCCGGACATTTGGTTAATACTGCAGATGCATTAACCGTACAAAAACATTCGCCGCTTGCTTCAGAATGGGTATTAAAGATCCAGTGATTTTATTCGCAAGAGTAGGGTCTTTTGTGCCGGCTTCATGGTTAAAATTAGCAAAAATTGCCTGCAAATTTCTTAATTGGAATGACACATACCAATTTTCCCTCCTACTGTGAAACTACTGCAGACTATGTAAAACATTGTTCCTTCCTAACAGTGCTGTAAAAATGGGGTGAATGTCAAATGCACTCACGATTTTATTTGATCAGCTTTTGAAGGACTTCCCGGATGAGCTGCGGGCCGACGTGACGATGCACCTCAACAAGGAGATGCTACAGCTGCCGCTGTTTGAGGCGGCGAGCCGTGGGTGCCTGCGCTCGCTCTCGCTCAACGTGAAGACGACGTTCTGTGCGCCGGGCGAGTACCTCATCCGGCAGGGCGACGCGCTGCAGGCCTTCTGCTTTGTGCTGTCGGGCTCCATGGAGGTGCTCAAGGACGGCACAGTGCTTGCAATCTTGGGTGAGTGTCGGCGCACGCAGACGGGCGCACGAGCAAATATTCGCGTACAGAGCGATCACCTGAACAGCACCACAGACAGTGCTCACCCTAAAAATTATACGAATAACACTAACGAAGGAAGTACCATTCACAACAATCACCCAACTAGCACCATGGACAGTGCTCGTTTAACCCATCTCCGGCGTGCCACACTTACAACACTTTTCTTCAACACACCTCCAATTACGCTCAGAAATTTGTTTCTGCCTGTCCCAAGCCAAGATAAAAGGAGGAGGCTTGGTGTCTGGTGGCAACCGGCCATAAAACCCTAAAGCCAAAACATGGAAAGTCCTTGCAAACAAATGGCCCTCAGTCCCCCGCAGCCCTTAAGTGGGCAGAGGGTGCGAAGAATCTCGGGACTCAATGAGTGTAGACCCGGGCGGTGGTAGTATGTTGTCTGCGCATATCAAGATGGAGAAACAAAATGGGAAGAGCAGAAGGTTGTTCGAGAGGAAGATAAGGTTGGCCACATGGAATATTAGAACAATGACAAGAAAAGGTCAGGAATTAGTGGACTCCTTGAAAAGAAGGAAAGTCGACATCGCATGCATCTAGGAAACAAAATGGAAAAGCATCAAAGTGAAATAAATTGGCTATGGTTTTAAATTGTTATACAATGAAACCACACCAAGGCAAAATGGAGTTGGAGTTGTGCTGAGTGAGGAGATTAAGAAGAAGGTGGTGGAAGTCAGAAGAGTGAATGACAGACTGATCATAGTCAAACTAGTACTGGACAGTGGGGTTGTAAATGTGGTGTGTGCATATGCCCCGCAGATGGGCTACAGTGGGCAAGAGAAGGATTAATTTTGAGAGAGCTTAGACTAGGAGTATCAGAGCTTACCGGTAGATGAAGCAGTGGTGATGAGCACAGACTTAAATGAAAGAGTGGGAAGAGGTAAGGACGGATATGAAAGGAACCATGGAGGATACGGATATGGCAGTAGGAATGCGGGAGGAGAGGACATTCTTCGAATGGCCCAGGCAAATGATCTTGCAGTGATGAAAACCTGCTTCCAGAAGCAGGAGGGTGACCTACCAGAGTGGAGAGGTGAAGAGCCAGATAGATTTTATTTTGATGAGGAGGAAGCACCTGAAAGGAGTGAAGAACTGCAAAGTAATCCCTGGATAGTGTGTGACAACATCGACTACTTGTGGAAGATTGCATAGTGAAAGGAGTTAGGAAGAGGAAGGTGAGACAGCAACTATAGTAGGGTGAAGTGGTGGTGACTAAACAATGAGAAACAAAACTTCTACCATTGGCTGTGGCTAATATACAGCAGTCAGGTTCTTGTTTATTGTTTACAGTCTGCAGCTATAATAATTCAGCAGTAATTGTGGAAGTAAATTACTTACATGAGGAGCAGACACGATCCCCTCGCTTATTCTGGACACACGCATAGCAGCCAAATAGGAGGTAGAGATGAGGCATCTAACAGTTGACCCCCTCCCACCTTCCAGCAATTTGATTTAATTATCGTGATTCGGGGTTGTGATTTAAATAAAACAAATATTTACAAGTTTTTTGCACCTCGTGAGCATTGCTTCTCAGTTTATTTCTGCTGTTTTTACATTATTCTTCACCCCATTTACAATATCAGTAGCATCTATGATTTATTAACTGCTGGATGAATGCCTTTTCATGCCATAATCAAAGAACTTGCATATAATTTGTACACATTTTACATTTGTAGTGACATCAGGGATGTCACTGTATGATGCCAGCCCGGAAGGGTCGTGCCGTTCGATGTTCCTACATCGTGGACAGCACCGTGTGGGTGGCTGTGTGTAACACCAGCCCTAGCGTGGACATCACCGTGTGGGTGGCTGTGTGTAACACCAGCCCTAGCGTGGACAGCACCGTGTGGGTGGCTGTGTGTAGTACCAGCCCTAGCGGGGCTTGGTGAGCACTGGGATAGTGTGGGCACCACGCACAGCGTGTGGTGGGGGCTCCCCCGAGGGGGAGGGGGTGAGTGTCAGCCCAGGGGCAGGGTTGCCCCGGGCTATGGCACTCTGGTTGACCCCATAGACACGTGATCCGGAGAGTCCACACAGGGGGCCCCAGGTGGGGGGACTCGGGGGTGATCACGTGTCCGGAGAGAACTCTTGAGAAGGATCGAGAGGGAACGAGAATGTTTGGGAAGGCAGGCAGGGCCGAGGGCGGAGCAGCCCCGACCGGAGAGGGATATAAGGCGGGTCCCTGAGAGGGACCAGGGTCGCTGCATTCTACAAGCTGGAAGCTCAACATCTACAAGCGGGAAGCTCTACGTCTCAAGCTGAAGCTCTCCATCTTACGAGCCAACCACGTGGTCGGAGACCCGAGTGAGGGATCGAACCTTCATAGCAGTAACTCGCTGTAGTCTGGCAAAGGGGCAGTTACCCCTTTGTGTTATGGTGTTATGGTGTTACAAATAAATGTGTTGCCTCTAAAAGGAACAACGTCTGCGACTCAGTTGGACCCACTACACATTATCAATTATTGCATGTGCAATTCGATGCATGTATCGTGAGTGTAAAAATCAATGTTTAATAATGAGATCAATGTGTCGCTGCATGCCTACCAGAGAGAATTAGACCTATCAACTTGAATTTGGTCACAGCAGCAATGCAGATACTTGTCCAGGGATTAACAAACAGCATCATCTTCAGCACGGTGAAGCACAAATAGGCCACCATCAAAACATGTCAGTGGACAGTCGTTCACAATGTGTGACATCGTCTGTGGTGCTCCACAGCTGCAGGTTGGATCAGTAGCCTGACCCCATCGGACGAGGTTGACCGCGCAGCGACCTTGTCCCGTCCGGAATTGGTTCAGCCTTGTCCACTTTCGTCGTGGAAGGTCGAAGCCAGGGGGACAGAGAGACGGCTCGGAGATGGGGGAGCGGTTCACAACATCAGCTGTTGACCACTCAGCACTCCATGCCGAATTAGCTTTCATGTCCTCTGGCAGCGGATCCAACCAGACTGGGCATCTCGAAGACAGGCGTGCTGATGGGTGTGACAAGATATCTGTATGGATCGGTAAATTGTCATTGGCATGAACCTTTGCCAACAGCTTGGCTGTTGCTTCCTGTCGAGGTGTGGCGGTGGGATGTTGCTGAGTACTGTCAGCCATGGTAGTGGAGTTGGGCGTAGCATTCCAGTTATGGTACGCATCGACGTATTGAGTTGCACATCAACTAGCTTGGAGTGGGACGATCTGGACCAGACTGAAGCACAGTACTCCACTGTTGAATAACACAGAGCCAGCGCTGTTGTCTTGAGTGTCTGGGCACTTGCGCCCCAACTTGTACCAGCCAGTTTACTGAGTAGATTGTTCCGAGTGCTGAGTTTTGCTGCTGTTTTCTTCAGGTGTTCGTGGTACGTCAGCGATCTGTCCAAGGTCACGCTTAGGTAAACCGGATTCGGGTCATGCTTGATATGCTGACCCTTGAGGTAGATGTTGAGTTCCTGGTTTGCTTTCGCCTCATGCAGATGAAATACACTGGAGACTGTTTTGGTTGCGCTTGGTTGTCGTCAAAATCTACTGAGGTACTCCGCCATCATCTCCATGTCTTTTTTATTACTATCTCTACCTCGGTGACTTTGGGTTCCAAGGCAAATATCATCGGCATAGATGAATTTGCGTGACTGTGTCACTGGCAGATTGTTGATGTAGATGTTGAAGAGGCTTGGAGATAGCACTGAACCGTGTGGTAGTCCATTCGTTTGTCTTCTCCAAGAGCTGCATTTGTCTCCCATGTGCACTCAAAATGGTCTATCGTGGAGGAAAAGTTTGATAATTTCTACTACCCAGCGTAGCATCACTCTGGATAGCTTCAACAACAGGCCTGCATGCCAGACCGTGTTGTACGCTGCCATCAGGTCAAGGAAAACTGTTCCAGTTTTCAGGTTTTCCTGGTACCCATTCTCGATTAATGTTGTCAGAGCAAGTACTTGGTCACAGGTACTGCATCCTTGTCTGAAACCTACCTGCTCAACTGTGATAGTGTTCTTCAGTTCCGAACTGATTCGCTGCAGGATCAGGGGCTCCAGCAGCTTAAAACACACGGAGAGCAAGGGAATTGGGCAGTAGCTAGCCTCACTGTTTGGATCCTTGCCGGGCTTTGGGATGGCAATTACCTTTGCCTGGCGCCATGCTCGTGGCATCCTCTGCTTCTGTATGATCTGCGTGTAGAAAGTTATGAGCCTTTGGGCCTAGGTGCTTCAGGAACTTGGTCAAGATGTTGCCATATCCTGCGGCAGTGCCTGATTTTATGCTGCGCAACACCGTTTCAAGCTAAATATGAAAGGTCATCAGTCACCTGTTCACACAGACGCACACAATACCTATTCGCCAAAGTGGCAGCAATTTCCTCCAAGACGCACATTCACTCTTGAGTTACACAATACGCCAACATACGCTTCTACCCACGCGTTCATTGATAGCCACCAATTACCGTCATATTTCACCGACAGACAAAAATTGCCAGCTAGCAGAATGAGCCTCAGATGATTTATACGCACGCGAAGGCACTGTTAACCCGGATCGCGATGGTGATGATGCACCCCAGGAACAGACCGAAAGCCAAGCCTGTCCATTAAGATAACGAAGCAACTATTAGGTTATAAAACACTAATTAGGATTATTATTGTCAGTGCCTATCATTATCCTATCAAGGGCTGTATGATGGCCAATAATTGGCAGCTGAGCTCTCTAGCATGTGATTTATGAGCTGTGCTCTGCCTGACTATCTGTTTTGTTTTCCGTTCTGATGACCTAACACAATAAACCATTCGGCTACCATGCCAGAGTCTATTCTGGTTACTGAGGGAAGCAGCAGCAATGTTCTCCATCGTCTGTGTGACATTGATTGCATTTCCTCACCTTCAAATTTAACATCGCTCACTAAATTTGGGATCCCTGGCCTTCTCAGTGTCCTTTGGTGTTGTCCGATAATTGATAATTTTATGTTTAAATACATATATTATATATTCATGACAGGCTGGCAGAATGGGATGAACACTTTACCAGTTACAGGTATTTAAATGTGTGGGCCATTGCACCAAGTTACCTTATACTGCTCCTTCAGCTTGAATGTGCCTCATCCTGAATCGTGCTTGGATGGGTTGCCATCAACACCTGCCAGTTTTGCAGATTTGGGCTGTGAGGTGTGGCCAGAAGATGGAAGTGCTGAGTTATACTCCCTCATGTGTGTGGTGGGTTTTCTCCAGGTTCTCCAATTTCCTACAATTCCAAGCCAAACGCTCGTTAATTATACCAGTCAAACATCAAAAGGATGCTGGCCCATGCTGAAAACAAATTACATTTGTCATCCAAGTCATTCAAATTAACATATATGCACCGACTAAAATTTTGCCCGTACAGATTGAAATGATGCAAAGCAGCATAGGTTGATTTTTCTATTCTTTTTTTGCGGCACGAATGAGAGTGGTGAATCAGTGGGCTTGCTCGGCCATTGCAGTGACCTCCCTGTACAGGCTTGAGAAGGAGGTGGGATAATTTACTAATATCAACAATGTTTATCCAAACTAGATTCGAAGCTTTCGTTACTGCAGGAATTACTCTTTGGTTATTTTGGTAAAGTCACGTCGAAAATATAATCAAATAATAATAGAATGCGACGTTTCGGTTGCAACATAAGCAACCATCATCAGGTAAGAATGAATGATAAAACACAGACACGGAAACAACACAGGCAGACAACATGCAGAGAGACACACACAAAGACACACCGAGCGAGACCGTTGCCGTGTCTGTGTTTTATCTAGGTGTGTGTCTCGTTCGGTATGTCTTTGTGTGTGTGTCTCTCTGCATGTTGTCTGCGTATGTTGTTTCCGTCTGTGTTTTATCATTCATTCTTACCTGATGATGGTTGCTTGTGTTGCAACCCGAAACGTCGTATTCTATTATTATTTGATTTTATTTTCTACGTGACTTTATCGAAAGAACCAAAGAGTAATGTTTATCCAAATAGCTTGAGTAATTTGTCATTTTACAAAGTGAAGTTTTTCTCTTTAATGGCCACGATTGGCATTGTGTGCTATTATTTAACTATTTGTGATGAGATGGAATCTGTCACGTGTATCTTTCTTACATTTTATACACGTTCCATATGCACTATGTCCTCATGTGTTTATGAAACAAAGTATAAAAGACATGTAAATCGTTATCCCATTCACGAGTAGCGTAAGCCTTTTTTTGAAAGTTTGTTTACATTTAAATTAATCCTGTATTTTTTGTTCCAACATTGTATTTAAATAAGAATGTGAATAGTAAACCCAGTAAAGTAGGTATATCCCTCACCACCTCAGCAGGCACTACTGCTATACCTGTGCACAGGGGCACTACTTTACTTCACTCCACACCCCTGAATAAAAGCATTCCTCCCGACGTGGCACCTCCACAAACCACTGTCGTTTCCACAAATCGGCTTCACTGGTGCAGTTTATCTGCCCGTGCTCTGACTGGATTTAGTAGATTACTGACTCGGGGAGATTCAGGATGGCCGTTGATCGGCTTTGCTTAAAATCCATACACAGCTCTTGTTTGGGAGGAGGCATTCCTCCTGGCAAGAGTGAAGTAGTCACAACCGGGGAGGTGGCTTCTTGCTGGACCGATGTCCGACTCCCTGAAACCATACACGCCCTGCTTCCCACAACACGCCCAGTGATGCTCAACGGAACGGCAGTATCTTCCATGCGTATGTTTATCTTTTGTACACAATCCTATCCCGATTGTGCTCTTCGCCTCATGTAATTAAACTTAAAATCCATTCACATCTCTCACACAGCAGTGCAACCCTTGCTGTTAGAGGCCCACCAAGTGGATATTACAGAGCTACATCTGAAATCTCTTTAAGTGACCTCTCACCCACGCGGTAGAGGGCAGCACTCCGATCTGCTCTGCCACCAAGAGTTTTGTCTGTCACATGACCCGTCAAAATTACATATTTTAAGCCTCATAGTTTGGATTTTAGCCCAATTAAGTGTAGTCCCAGAGCCAGGTGTAATCTCCTGAATGATTTTATTTCAAAGTAGCACTGCTCTTCAGGTGAATATCAGCAACAGGAGTGTCCCCAAAAAAACCCCAATGTGATCTACTGGGATCGAGCACCCTTGGAATCTCGCGGCTGAGTTCTGCAACTGCTTTCTCATCTGGCTGGCTGTGTGACCTCTGTGCTACGCTATTGAAATCTCGTGGTTTGGATTCTCTAATGTTTTTCCGTCTCGCTAGCTGCATGAACTCTGGGCTGCGCTGGCTTCACGCTCCACCGAGCAAGCGCGCTGTCGCGTCTCCTCGCTCAGCGATGCCAGGGGAGGCACGTGCATGGCGGCGTCGCCGGCCGTTCGCGGCCATTCCAACAGTCTGCGCGCCTTGTGCTCTTGCCAATGCATTTCGTTCCCACTTCGGTTCTGTGGCTCGCATGGAACAATCTGTGCCAGCAGAGATATTTACACTCACTGCTCTGTAATCATTGATACGGAATCACGTATTTATTTATTGTGCCTTTTTGGTGGTTGTGAGCCACTCACTGATCCTAAACGTCACCCGAAGTATATATAGTGGTGAAATGTCCACGCGCTCTTGCCGCGTGCTTATGTTAACATAGACCAAACAAATGTAGTAAATAGACATTATTGCTAATTGAAATAGAAACAAACACTACATTTGTTTCATTTGAGTTTCATTTCATGGTCGTAGGCGGTGCATTCATCAGAAAGCAATTACGTCCTAACGCCAGAAACATTTAGCATATGCGGATAGTCCTATGGAGAGATTTACTCCCATCATGGAATGTGGAATTTCCACCACTGTCTCAGAGCTGTACACAGGAAATGAGTACAGCCTCAACGGTCATTTGAGCAGGAAATTACTTTGATTTTGACTACATGAAGGTAAGTGTGGATTTTTTTTTATAATTCGCCAGCTCGTTAAGTTAAAATGATTATTGTGCACATCCTGCCCACTCTCACGTGTGTGACCCATGCCTTGCGCGGTGCAGGCAGGGGATGCTTTCCTCTGCCTTCATTTACCGGCCAAAGTGATTTTCTCCTCAATAGAGCATTGATGTGTTGCTCATCCTGTTTACAGCCCTGATTCGGTGGTGGAAATTCTACCTTCCTAATTTTTTTCCCCACATTTTTTGTAAAGTTATATTCGCTCCATCATCCCAAATGTATAACTTTCATAGAATGTGAATTGTTAATCATTGACTCTCACACGTTCATGATTCAGTGCGTGTGTAGTGAGTCCAACTGAGTCGCAGACGTTGTTCCTTTTAGAGGCAACACATGTATTTGTAATACCGTAACACAAAGGGGTAACTGCCCCTTTACCAGATACAACCTTGGGTGGTGACCACTCAGCTAACTACACCATACAGTGGTGTCACTGCGACGAAGGATCGGACCCTCACTCGGGTCTCTGACCACGTGGTTCCTCGTAGGACGAAGAGCTTCCAGCTTGAGACGCAGAGCTTCCAGCTTGTAGAACGAAGAGACCGCGGTCCTTTTCAGGGACCCGCCTTATATCCCCCTACGGTCGGGGCCGCTCCGCCCTCGGCCCCGCCCACCTTCTCGAGCATTCTCGTTCCCTCTCAATCCTTCTCAAGAGCTCTCCCTGGACACGTGATCACCCACTAACGCCCGCTACCTGGGGCCCCCTGTGTGGCCACTCCGGATGACGTATCTACAGGGTCAACCAGAGTGCCATGGCCCGGGGCAACCCTGCCCCTGGGCTGACGCTCACCCACTCCTCCTCGTGGGAGCCCCCAACACACGCTGTGCGTGGTGCCCGCACTATCCCAGTGCTCACCAAGCCCCGCTAGGGCTGGTACTACACACAGCCACCCACACGGTGCTGTCCACGATGTAGGAACATCGAATGGCGCGGTCCTTCTGGGCCGGCACCATACAGTGACATCCCCAATGTCACTACACGTGTATCATGAGCATAACAATCAATTTTAATTGATTAATCAGTTGCATCGTTAATGACCTCATGGGTTCTATTACTGGCCAAGCACAATATCAGTGGCAATTAGTTTCTAAACGTCCCACAGGTTAATTAAGTCAATAATGAGTACCTGGGGCAGTGTGGTCAACCACCGCACATTACACTAGTGACACAAGCTCTTTCCAAGTCATGATGGCTTTAATAGCAACTCGCCAACAACACTTCCCCATGGGATCTGTGGAAGATGTAATTTTTCACCAAATATTTTCTGGGTCACTAAGAGTTGAGTAGGCACACGACTGGTAGTCACAGCTGCAGTGAGCAGTACACTGCATGCGGTGTGCTGGGTCGCTGAAATATTTTCCTGTTTGCCGTCGTGAACAGACCCGGCTGGAACGCAAACCCCTGGGCCTCTTGTCTGTGCGTGCGCAGGCAAGGGCGACCTCATCGGCTGCGACGTGTCGGACCGGGGCGACGTGATCAAGAGCAACGCGGATGTGAAGGCGCTCACCTACTGCGACCTGCAGTGCATCAACCTGCGAGGGCTCTGCACCGTGCTCAAGCTCTACCCCGAGTACGCGTGCCGCTTCCGGCATGACATCACGCGCGAGCTCACCTACAACCTGCGCGAGGGCCACTCCGTACAGGTGCGCGCGCGCGCGCTCCGTGTGTGCCCTGCGTGCATGGACGCAGGGCACAAGTGCTGAAGGCAAGCACGCACTCATCACAAGCGTCCCAGGCATGCACGCATGTTCGCACGCACGCACGCAAGTGTCCAATGACTCCTGCAGTTGGCACCTCGGATTAGTACGGTTGTCTATGTACAGTGCGAAAGAAGTTTTAACATGCATGCATGCATGCGTACATGACTGATGAGCCGTTAGGATTAGTTATCCGTGCATTGTCACTCGGGCAAGCAAATTTGTGCAAAAGCACCATTGACGCGTGCAAAAAACTGCATAATATTAAACATATCAGCCTCATTCTGTTCTGTTTGTATATACCGAAACGGGCTTCGAATTGACAAGCAGTGACCTCACTTTGTGGCGACATAGTCCGTGGAGCATATTTATATCACGCGCTAAATAAACAGGATGGAAATGTATGTTCTGCTGCAAAATTTATTGCACAACTGCTTTAATTAAGACCATCGTGACACCAGAAATGTATGATGAAGAGATTGCCGCAGTCGCCACATTCATCATTCGCTCCTCACGAGCTTTGGTGCGATGAGGATTGTGGAGGAGGGGGTGAGGAACGGGGGAATGGTGAGCATGGGATTTGAGAGGGGAGGAGGGCCCACATAAGACTCTGAAGGGAGAAGCCCCAGAGGTCTAATTTCATCGGAGGATAAAACAAGCGCCGTGCAAACCCAAATTACCCACACGTCATGAGTGCTCGCTCCGAGGCACGTGATCGATCATAAACGGCCACAGTGGCTCGCCCCGCGACTCGCTGACGCCAGCAACAAACGCGGGTGCAGTGAGGCGCGTGGCTTCAGGGAGCCTTCACGCCTCCGTGGCCTCTTCCTCCTCCCAGGATCCTCGTCAGACGACCCACCCCGTCCGTGCTCTCTTCCTCCCCAGTTCTGCTGTCAATTGTATCAACGTGAGCAGTGACCTGCACGGTGTGATTCATTTGGAGCCAGGGGCCGGGGGAGTGAGCGGGAGATGGTTACGCGAGAACACGGCATTGGGATGTTCAACGTCGTGCTCACAGAAACGTTGCTTAGTCCTTGTAGAGACTGATTGTTTTGTAAAACACGAGGTACTTTCCACAGTGACGCAATGATACATTGAATAGGTGTTTTTTTTTTACTTAGAACATGTGTTTGCCTTTACTGAGCTTTATATTGTAATGATGCATTAGTTGGCATGTGACAATGCATTTATTTTTTGTTAATTAAAATCGATTCCAAAACTTAAATGTGCATTAAATCGTAAAGAGTTTGATACATGTATTTGATAGTGCATGTATTTTACCTGTTTACCCAGAACTTGGTAAAACGAGTCGATGGAAGGGAATTCCAAAGTTGGGCAATACGAGGAATGAAGCAGAAAGTGAAGTGTTCTGACCTGCTATGTGATGGTTGAACTCTGACCTGCTATGTGATGGTTGAACTCTGACCTGCTATGTGATGGTTGAACTCTGACCTGCTATGTGGTGGTTGAACTCTGACCTGCTATGTGATGGTTGAACTCTGACCTGCTATGTGGTGGTTGAACTCAGTATGGATGAGACAGCCAGTCTGGTAGTCCGGGTCCTCAACATGGGTGGAGGAATCAATGAGTGACGTTTATGGGAATAGTAGTAATAGGTAGTGGCCATTGAATAGTGACAGGGAGATGACCTACTGCTGGTGAGCGAGTGACTGGAGTTGCACCGCCTGGCACACTCGATGGTGACACCGATGCCAGAACGGGGGGAACGAGGTGCTGGTGAGCATCGCTGCCTACAGGTGACTTTGTTGTGGACGTTTGTCTTAATTCCCATTCACTCTGCAGCATCCGTTACATGCTGTACACAGACTAATACAAGTTAAAATTCTGCTGTGCTGCAAAGATGCCGTCTGGCGGAGTGTCTTCCAAGGTCAGCAGGAATAATGAATTTGACAGAGAGACAAATGTGCCGTTGAAGTCCACAAAGAGAACTCCACATGTGTAATGAGCGCTATAAATAGTTTACAGGGACAGAATGTGTCGATGCGGTGACAGACAGACCAATGGCCATTGATCTCAGAAACTCGCTGCATGCGTTGTTGTGGAGCCTTAACAGTCATACAAATTTTTACTTGAGCTACATAAATAATTGTCACTTTCTGCAGGAGTACGTGTAAGATTGATAATGGCTGGATTTAATTTATTTTGGCTCAGAAGACCTCATACTGGCCAGGTCAAAGCCAAAATGACTGACTTTACGAGAGATGAGCCAGCATCACGAGCATCTTGAATTTGTATCAATGCAGTCACCCGTGATGTAACCGAGTTCCCAAGCGTATTGAGTTGATTGTGGCAGCATGGATACCGACAAATGCACAAAAACGTAACTGACTATGGAAATGTAGTTTCCATTTGTATTTGTTAATGACTAACACGCTGTGAGTCACGCCATGCAGAGTTTGAATAACGCTGTCTAAGGTTGGGTATGAGATGCTTATCACAGAGGCCACTGTTAAATGTACAAATACATAAATAGATAACCACAAATACGTCTTCCCGCATAAATAAAACTGTCAGTCCCATCAGACTTGCACACTAATGTTTCATAACAGCAATGTTTAAGCAGGCAAAGTCTGGTTGTCATCAGCAGAGTCAGTCCCATTAAATCAATGCTATTATTTTGGCTGGTGATATAGGCAGGAGCCTTCAATGTTAGCTTTGAGTCCCATCAGCATCCAATAACAGTCTAAAAGTTAATCGTGTGCCGTGGCGGAGCCAGTAAATAAGTAAACAGACAAATGTGTGTGTCTGTCTGCATAAAAAAATAATTAGATTTGTGGTAATTTTCCTGAGCACTGCCTGACTCGTTGTGACACCCTTGCGGACTCGGGGAATTCTACGAGAACCTTTTTGTTTTTGCTTTTGGATAAAATCTCATTTGGGGCAAATGTGATATAACTGGTGTGAGCAGAAAAAAAAACACTAAATATTATAATTGTGTTAGAAAATATTTCACAATATCCCTGCAAATGGTAGATACGCGAATATAATGTAAGTGCAGTAGAGGCGATCGAATGAAGTTCAGAGAGTGCAACGTAGATACGTAGCCCCTATTGCAACAGCTGGAGGAGGCCTTCAGCCAGTAATGGATTGCTTTATGGCGGAGTAGGAGTAGCCTAAGAAAGGAAATCAAGCAAGGAGAGCGCTGAGGGAAGAGGCATAGAGTATGACTGTCACCGCACGGAGAAAACGGCATGCAACAAACGTGGCAGTTAATTACTGGGTGTCCATGAAATATTGTTCATTAGTAAATAACTATAATTAAACAGCAGTTTGAGCTAGGTCAATAAACCCCTAATTATGAGCATTTTTTTATTTGTGTATATTAGTTTCTGAATTATTATTGATCTTAATAATTAAAAATAAGTTAAAGTGATTTTTCTTCTCAAATGGACGGTGCTGATCTGTTTACAGCCCTGACTGAGCCAGCGGTGGAAATTCCCCGATCCCATGGCAGGGGCGGGTTTATTCACAGAACAACCACTGCATGACTTCCTCCCAAAATGGTACTTATTTGATCAACTCCAAAGTAATGATGAGCAATATTACTGATTGTGAGCTGCTCACTCGACCGTTAAGCCACCTGGCTGGTCATATAATTTATTACGCAACATATTCATAATTTATATTATTTGGGTCTTTCGGTAAAGCCACGTAGATAGAAAAAAAGTATTAATTGTTATTATTACAGACGGTATGAGTGCATTCATCAACGAACAATCACTGAGGGCAATTAGGGAGACCTTGACCCATGGCTGATGATGATGATGATGAAGATATTTCAGTACCTTCATTCAACTGCACAGGTGCATGCAAGGAATAACACTGAAAGACAGGAAAGTGAACGCATTGAATCAGATAACAATGAGAAGTTAGAGATATAATTTTGACTGTCCAAAAGATTAAATTGACTCATGTGTGGACACATTGCTGGAAGGGACGATGGCTGATGGACCAGGCTGGTGACAGAGGAGTCATCTCAAGTGCAGAAGCTGGATGCATCATTAGACCATAAGAAATGGCGATTACGTGGGGATGCCTTCGTCTAGCAGTGGATAGGTCATGGCTTTTGCTGCTGCTGATTTATAATGATGCATATACAGCTTATTTATAAATTAATGTGTTAGTTTCTATTCGGGGAATACCCTGATGTATAATTTTTGGTGTAATTCACCATGGACAATCGGTTGCCCTTTGCAGACATATTTTTATTCATCTCAGTCTAGCAGAGGTGTTTTTTAACACCTCCGCGAGTGGACAACTCGGCCGGTGAATGTAAAGAAAAACGGTTGTGAAATAATGCTGCTGCTAAAAATAGCAGCACACTGAATACAATCGCGACCCCTCTCTTGGCTTGAGTGTCTGAAAGGTGAATTTAAAATCGCTGTGACGAGAAGATTACTCTAACTCCGTGCTGTTATTATTATTAGAAATGCACCTGCTGGTGAGACATTTAAAATACCGAAATGGGAAATGTTCCTTTACATGGTTAATGTCATATATACTCGGAGCGGTGGCACAGTGGTTAGCGCACTGTTTTATAAAACCCATTGACCAAAGTTCGATTCCCAGCCACAGCTAACATCAGTGGCGAGTGATATCCAAACCTGTCCCCCCCCCCCCATCCCCTTTTAACAACCAGCACTGACCAGTATGGTGAAGTATGGTCAAATAAACCCCTTGCCCCACACAAAGCAGGGAGGCCATTACCATACATGACTACATGGACTAGAGGGCCTCGGGCACAGGGCTATGGGGCCCATGGCAACCTTGCATCACGTGTGGGCTTCGTTATGCTTGTGCCGTTGCAATTGGTAAGGTGAAACCATCATCAAACGTAGTCTTTCATGTGCCCTGATATCACCACTCCACTCCTCCTCGGCTTTGGTCATCCTCCCGAATGTACATTCTCCCCGGCAATAACTCCA